GTGTAAATATGTCCAGTGTGAACTGTGAAGTCGTTTCATATTTTCATCTGTGCAACAAACTGTCTGCGCTTCTTTGTTATGAAGCAGTAGTAAGTCCATGCAATTTTGGACGTGTGATAGATAGCGGGAAGAGCATGGGGAGGGACCGGGCTTGGGCCCACTTCCGTGGGCCGGTTACGGGCTGTCTTTATAGTTTATTTATTATTATTAAAGTTAATGTTATGTTTTGGTTTGGGCCTATTAGTAGTAGAGTACTTAGTAGAGTTAATATGGGCCTAATTAGGATTTAATTAATTTGGGCTTGATTAAGGTTGCTTGTAGAAGGCTATTTATACCCCTCGCCAGGGTTCATTCTTGTTATCTTGGAATAAAAATTGGTTTAGCCTTTTGGCTCTGAGCAACAGTATTTATTTATCGTTGATTATCTGGGCAACGGTTCACCCGTTGATTTTATTTTTCTGCTTTATAACAATTGGTCCAACCTGCTGGATCCCGTCCCGCCAGGATGACGAGATCTCGGAACGATCGATTGACCGAGTTAGAGACCGAGCAACACCGAATGGGAGAGGAGCAAGCCCGACTGGGGGCTGAGCAAACACGAATGGCGATGTAACAAAATCGGATGAATAGCACCTCGGAAGAGCATGGCTTGCGGCTGGTTTAAATCGTCGCATCACTGGCGGCGCTCACCCAGGCCTTAGTGCCGCCGATATCGCAGGCAGCTTCCTCGGCTGCGGTCGGAAGGAGTTCGAGCTCAACGGGACCCCACCAGACAGACAAGTTGCAGCGACTAGGGTTTCTATGGAAGGAGTTGCCCTTTATTGGGTGAGTTGGTTGAAGGCGTGCAAACCCAACATGTCATGGGAGGAATTTAAGCAAGCCCTGGTGACCAGATTTGATTCCCGATATCAAGGAAACAAGTTTGAACGGCTGTCGGGCGTCAAACAAATAGGGTTGGTGGAGGAGTACAATACCTTGTTTGTTCAATTGGTTAGCCAAGTTCCGGGATTGATCGACGATCATTATCTGGGCTACTACATGAGTGGACTTAAGGAGGAAATCCGAAGTTCGTTACGCTTATTATGGCCGGATAACTTGGAGACGGCCATGGAATTAGCTCGCGATGTGGAGCATAATCTGTCCGTCCAAAGTGGAGGAAGTGGAAGCCCGAATTATAATCTTTAGGGGTACGTTCCAGCAGCTTTTCAATGGCAAACACGGGTCCTCCGTTGACTGCCAGTGGTGGCAGCTTTGCGAAAGACAGTGGACAGCCCCCGGGGACGAAGTCAGGGCTGTCCGGGCAGCCTACGACACGCTCTCAATTCACTTTTTTGCACCAGAGTTAGCGGAATTGAGGGAAAAGAGATTATGCTTTAGGTGCAAGAAACCATTTACACCGAGGCATGACTGTCCCTTTAAGCAATTGCGGGTAATGATAGCTGAGGAGGATGAAGAGTTGGACCTCCAACAACATGAGTACTGCGAAATAACCGGTCCGGTCAGGAAAGGGTTCAGGAAAGAGATGAAGGATATTTTCGAGTCTATTCTATGGCTGGAAATTTCAGTCCCCGATCCGCGATATTTCAACCTTGAGGACAAGGTTAAGTTGAAGGAGGATGGATTGATAGATAGCGGGAAGAGCATGGGGCGGGACCGGGCTTGGGCCCACTTCCGTGGGCCGGTTACGGACTGTCTTTATAGTTTATTTATTATTATTAAAGTTAATGTTATGTTTTGGTTTGGGCCTATTATTAGTAGAGTACTTAGTAGAGTTAGTATAAGCCTAATTAGGATTTAATTAATTTGGGCTTGATTAGGGTTGCTTGTAGAAGGCCATTTATACCCCTCGCAAGGGTTCATTCTTGTTATCTTGAAATAAAAATTGGTTTAGCCTTTTGGCTCTGGGCAACGGTATTTATTTATCGTTGATTATCTGTGCAACGGTTCACCCCGTTGATTTTATTTTTCTGCTTTATAACAATGCAATTTTCACTACGGGTCAACCGGAAACAGTCTCTCTGTGCTGTAGTACAGGGGTAAGACTGCGTACATCCGACCCCCCCTTACCCCACCATAGGTGGGGGAGCCTTTGCGGCACTGGGGTAAATGAAAATGAAATCTGTGCAACTACCTGTAACATGATCTTTGTTTTTTCTGATAGTTTTTATATTCAATTCAACCTATTGTGGTTGAGAGTTTTCTCAAATAACATAAGTGTAGGCCAAGAACCCATATCCTGAATCCTACACCATACCCTGGTTTGGCATCTCCAGCTGAACACTCAAGTAGCTACTTAATGTATTGGTGCAGTGTGCTCATGTGATGGCCATGGCTGTTCAAAAGATCTATCCAAATGCAAAAGTAACTATTGGTCCTTGGATCGAGAATGGGTTTTATTATGATTTTGATATGGAGCCTCTGACTAATGGGGACCTCAAGAGGATAAAGCAGGAGATGGTGAGTTGACCTAAATTCTATTTGTTTTCTATTTTTTTTGGAAATATATGGTAGACGAGCTGTTGAGCACATGTAAGATCACCTTCATGGACCAGGTTTCTATAATCTAGATGCTGAGTTTATACGGTGTATCATTTGTAGGATCGTATAATCAGAAGAAACATGCCTGTCATCAGGGAAGAAGTAACTAGAGCTGAAGCCCTGAAAAGATTAATGGCTTTTAGTGAACCTTACAAGATGGAGATTTTGGATAGTATTAAGGAGGATCCTATAACCATTTATCATATTGGTATGGGCCGTATGGCACACCATTATTTATCGATTAAAGATATTATGAACTGTATTTCTCACAACATCTGCCTACCATGTTAACTTGTGTTTCATCATGCTTGCTTTCTGTAATGAGTTGTTAGATTATGCAGTGATCCATTTTCTGTGAATTGACCATTTAGTTTTTTTTTTCTCTCTTTTTTATATTTAAACTCTCCATAGCTGAAGTTGTAAAGGAGATATTTCATTTAGTGGCCAGTGACAATCTCTTGAATCTCGACCCTTTACCTATGTGTTCAAATATTGGAAATAGTCTCTTAAAAAATGCATTGGTTGTGTACTTGTGCACATATATCTTTTTCTATGTACACGGTGAAGGAGGGAGCCATGTGCATATCTGCTACTTTCTTCAATAAAAGTTTATGCATTTCATAAAGGACACCAGAGTTAACTCCTGAAATCTATCTTTGCAGTTCTTATGCTTTGATAAAATCAAGTTCTGAATCATGGATGAGGGACATCTGTCTTTCTTTTATTAAGTGCACAGAACAGTCACATTATCCACAAGCTAATAATGATGATTCAACAAACGGTAACATACAAGTTAGTGGGTCACAAGATGTCGTAGTGAAAGTTGGTATGATAGGTGAATTACCCAAACCATAAGATCAGCAGATTCCGGCGACCGGCAGCGCGGCAGGGGCAGAACGGCGGCCGGGGCAGATCAGTGGCTGGAGGCTGGCGGCAGCAAGGCTGGGAAGGTGGCTGGGGTATAATTGACCAAACACCAATAATTAGTCCTATTTAGGGAATTTAAAACAATGTAATCCTATTTGTGAATTTATGGTATGTTTTACACTTTGACTCCTATTTAGGTAATTCACTCTATTTTCTATTTCAAAACTTCTTTTTTCTGCAACTGTTTCAATTCTTAGATGGGTACCAATGCGGTGTCACTTGCCGATGAGTTGCTAAATGATCCATATGATCTTCTCAGTATCCTTCATTATCTTGCATGTAATAATGAACAAATTTTCTGAGCTCATCTGCATCTTCTTGTATAGCTGTGTTGGCTTCATATACCCTACTGACTTCTCTATCAATTTTTAATATTTAAACACATAATATGTACTTTCAATTTCCACCGACCCCTTTATGATCTCTCATTCTTACTTGGTATAACTTTTAGGAAAGCAGGAACTGTGTGGTTGATTTTTCATTTGAACATAAGAAATAATATCAACAATTTATTGCTTTCCTTGAAAGATTATTTTGACACAGATAGAAAAGGAAATAATGAGGAGAAGATTGGGATGGAGGGATTATTAGATATGTAGATGATATCATGTGGTTGCATTTAAGCATTTAGTGGCCCCATTTTTAGTCAGCGTGCATTTGACAGTTGATTAAGCAGCTCATCTCTGGAGTCACTGCAATAGTACATGCGTAAGAGTTGAAAGTCTTGAAACACAAGAAAAAATAAAGGTTAAAGACTAAATTAAATGATATAGACAAGTTTATATGGCAGTCTTGTAATTTTTCCATTGTATAATACATTAATATTGTCAACTAGTCAACACCGATGTGGCCTACTGACATTCGAGTCATATTTAAAATGAATTCTTCGTAAAGAGTTCTGTTCCAAGCTGTAACAGTGCTCACGTAAATATCAAGTAAAAAGATCCTTTCTTTATTATTTAAATTGTAAACTTCTATGAACCACATAATCTTCAGACAACGCAAGTCCTAGATTTTGTGGTAACCCATCATAGGGCTTTGCTATCGCTGTCAAAGCAAGATGTGCAAAGATACGATCCACTTTATGATTATGGAGTGCTTGTTGTTTCCAGTTGCTATATCTCCATTTCTGCTATGTAATTGAATACATACTAGGAATGTCAGGGCTGATTTTTCTTCTTTTCCTCCGGACCTCCACTATTGTTGAAGTTATTCTTCAGTTCCTGAGGAACTTGAGTCCTTATTATATGTTGATACCAGGTACTCTTTTGGATGACTATTGTTACAAAAAGTGAACTCTATAGCTGCACTCATTAATGACCAAACCTGAAGTAACAATGACTAAGTATTGAACTTGGAGACAAAAGTCACTTCTCTTAAATTTCGTGTTGACTTCATTTGTTTCATTTTCATTGCTTCTCGCAACATGATGTATATCTTCCTTATGAGCTATGAAAACCCTGAATGATACAAGCTTCTCACAAAGGTTGTCCTTTTGGCCTTTTAATATTCACAACATGGTGCACTTCTTTTAGGTAATGAATGGTGGGATCTTTGTGCTGGGCCTCATGTTGAATCTACTGGCAATATTGACAGGAAAGCTTTTGAACTTGAATCTGTTGCTGGTGCTTACTGGAGAGGAGATGTAAGCAAGCCAGTGCTCCAAAGGATTTATGGTACAGCATGGGAGACTGAAGACCAATTAAAAGCATATACTCATTTCAAAGAGGAAGCTAAGCGAAGAGATCACCGCCGACTTGGCCAAGATCTTGATCTCTTCTCTATTCAGGTACTGAGGAGTATTATGTCATGCAATGATTGATGAATATTAACAGTTATCATGAACCACTATTACCAGCGATTCATACCTTCCTTATCTGCACTAGTTTTGATAGAGACAAAGGAAATCAAGGAAAATCTGCAAAGTAAAGGCAGGCAATCAATAAACAGATTTCAGGGCTCAGATTCACGCTAGGGATCAGATACCTAAATACTACTACCTCCGTCCCTTTTATATTGGTACGGAAGAGGGTGACACGATTATTAAGAAAAGTGAGTTTGTGTGGTTGATATTTGTAAAAATGTATAGTTAGATTAATTTGTAGATAAATACTTAGTCTTATCTGATGTAAATCTCACACGTATGAGATAAAGATAGTTAGGTAGTCAGATCCTAATTTTTAGGATCTCATCATTTAGTTTGTTAGACTTGTATCCTATATATATTGTACCCGGGTGATGGAATAAATCAAGTCATTCTATTCTCTCAAACTTACATGGTATCAGAGCGGGCTGTTTAAACACCACAATGGTGGAAACCGAGCACTCTGGTTCTTCCCCTCACTCACAAACCCTTCACCCTAACTCCCAAATTAGCCAAATGACAAACTATCAGACCTCGATTAATTCATCTATGCTCATTACTGGACATAGATTGAATGGAACTAATTATCTAGAATGGTCACAAGTCTGTCAAGCTGGCAATTGATGGAAGAGGAAAGCTGGGATACATAACGGGTGAGATAGCACAGAAGAAAAGTGGTGATGATGGCTACAGTGTCTGGAGGTCAGAAAACTCTTTGGTAACAACCTGGCTTCTCAGTTCAATGGATGCATCAATCGCCAAACCTCACATGTTCATGAAAACTGCAAAAGAGGTATGGGATTCCATCAAAGAAACCTATTCAGATCTTGAGAACTCTTCTCAGATTTATGAATTAAAAACAGAGCTGTGGCAGTCCAAACAAGGAAGTAGAGATGTCATCTCATACTATAATGAGATGGTATCCCTATGGCAAGAGTTAGACAAATGCTATGATGCTGAAGAGTGGGAAAGTGCCAAGGATCTGGCAAGACACAAAAAGAGGGAGGAAAATGATAGGGTCTATATGTTCCTAGCAGGAATTAATAGAGACCTGGATGAAGTTAACGGAAAGTATACTTGGAAAAAAACCTCTACCTTCAATCAGGGAGGTATTTTCTGAAATCAGGGTGGAAGATAGTAAGAAAAAGGTCATGAATAACACTTCAGTCCATCATGATGATCCAGGAGAGTCCTCAGCAATGATTGCCAAAGGAAATGAGAAGAAAAAGCCTTGGTGTGATCATTGCAAGAAACTGTGGCATACTAGGGAGACTTGTTGGAAGATTCATGACAAACCACCTGGAGCAGGACAGAAAAAAGCTGAAAGGGCCCTACATACTGCCATACCTGAAACTGATCAAGAGCAACAAGTCAATTTCAAGCAGCCAATTTTCACCAAGGAGCAGATACAGCAGCTCCTACAACTTCTTAATACCCAAAAGAACCCTAAATCAGAAAACCCTTCTTGTTCTTTTGCTCAGAATGGTAAAATTGCATCATTTTTCTGTTCTGGAAAACCAAATGCCACCTGGGTCATTGACTCAGGTGCAACAGACCACATGACCTCCATTTCCAATCTATACTCTTCTTATAAACCCTGTGCAGGGGATAAGAAAATAAAAGTTGCAGATGGCTCTCTTTCGGCCATTGCAGGAACTGGAAATGTTAAAGTTTCCACTTCTATTGACCTTTCTAAAGTCGTACATGTCCCAAATCTATCCTGTAATCTTGTTTCTGTTAGCAAATTAACCAAAGATCTTCAATGTTGTGTTAAATTCTATCCTTCCTATTGCATTTTTCAGGATCTGGGATCGGGGAAGATGATTGGCAATGCTAGGGAAGAAGATGGACTCTATATATTTGATAAAGGGACTGAATCAAATAAACAAGGTCAAAGAACTACTTGTCTGCAAACTATTACGTTTCCCAGTGATAAGGAGTTGTATTTAATTCATTATAGACTAGGTCATCCTAGTTTCCATTATTTAAAAAAGTTGTTTCCTCAATTATTTCATAATAAAAATGTTTCACAGTTTCATTGTGATATGTGTACACTTGCAAAGCATCATAAAAATTCTTATCTTCCCCACAGTTACAAACCTACCAACCCTTTTACTCTTGTGCATAGTGATTTTTGGGGAGCATCTAGAATCCCTACTTTAAAAGGAAAGAGATGGTTTGTAACAATTATTGATGATCATACAAGAATAACATGGGTATTTTTGATCAAAGAAAAATCAGAAGTAGAAAATGTATTTAAGCAGTTTTATGCAATGGTCCAAACTCAATTCAATACCAATATAAAAATGGTAAGAAGTGATAATGGCCGTGAATACTTTTCTACAAACCTAAATCATTTTTTTGCTGAAAAAGGAATAATTCATCAAAGTTCTTGCATTAATACTCCTGCTCAGAATGGAATTGCTGAGAGAAAAAATAGACATTTACTTGAAGTTACACGTGCAATCATGTTTTCAATGAAAGTTCCAAAATATTTATGCGGAGATGCTGTTTTACATGCTACCTATTTAATAAATAGGATGCCATCAAAAGTTTTAGGTTTCAAAACTCCAATTAGTATTCTGCAAGAATGTTACCCTACTACTAGATTGATTGGCACTCTTCCTTTAAAAATCTTTGGTTGCACTGTTTTTATTAAAAATCCAGACAAAACAGCAAGTAAATTTGATCCTAGAGGAACTAAGTGTGTCTTTTTAGGTATTTCATCCACACAGAAAGGGTATAAATGCTTTGATCCTTAAACAAAAAAGATGTTTATTTTAATGGACACTGTTTTTGTTGAAAATCAAGTGTTTTTTGATACTCATCTTCAGGGGGAGAGTTTTAATGAAGATGCTACCAATGTGTCACATATTCATGACAATCTTGATTTTCTTGACATTAATCTAGATATGCATTCTATTAGAAACTTAGATGCATTAGAAAATGGTCAAGCATCAAAAAATAATGAAATAAATACAACTGATAAACTGGGAGGTGAAGAACTGCAGATCAGTAAGTTCTTTGGTAAGGTTTATGAGAGAAAGGTTCCAAATCAAAGAGAAGAGGAAGTCTTTGAACCTACATCTGTTAATGAATCTGACCAGATGTCAGTAAATGAAAAAGGTAATGACTCAACTGATCTTGATTTACCTATAGCTCTCAGAAAAGAAAGAAGGTCATGTGTCAAATATCCTATCTCAAACCATGTTTCCTATTCTAGATTATCCTCTACATTTGCAACTTTTTCTTCTATTGTCTCCTCTGTTTCTATCCCATCAACCATACAGGAAGCTCTATCTAAACCTGAGTGGAAAAAGGCTGTTTTGGAAGAGATGGATGCTCTTGAAAAGAATCAGACATGGAAGGTTGTAGAGCTACCTAAAGACAAGCCCACAATTGGATGTAGATGGATTTTCACTCCTAAGTTCAAGGCAGATGGCACTCTTGAGAGGTATAAGGCAAGGTTAGTTGCCAAAGGTTATACACAAACCTATGGCATAGATTACACCGAGACCTTTGCTCCAGTTGCAAAGCTGAATACTATCAGAATTCTTCTATCCCTGGCTGCAAATTTAGATTGGCCTCTTCAACAGTTGGATGTGAAGAATGCTTTTTTAAATGGAAAACTTGAGGAGGAAGTTTACATGAATCCTCCTCCTGGGTTTGAAAACAAGTTTGGTTCAAGAGTATGTAAGCTAGAAAGATCCCTGTATGGACTCAAACAGTCCCCAAGGGCTTGGTTTGATAGGTTCACACAGTTTGTTAAAAAACAGGGATATAAACAGGCCCAAGCTGACCAGACTCTATTTATAAAATGTTCAAGTAAGGGGGAGATTGCTATATTAATTGTCTATGTTGATGATATTATCATTACAGGAGACTTTCATGAAGAAACACAAAGCCTGAAGAAAAAACTTGCTGCTGAATTTGAAGTCAAAGATCTGGGAGATTTGAAATACTTTCTTGGCATGGAAATAGCTAGATCAAAAGAGGGAATAATTGTATCTCAAAAGAAGTATGTTTTAGATCTTCTTCAAGAAACAGGGATGAGTGCATGTAAACCAACTGACACTCCTATAGACTCAAACCAGAAGTTAGGAGATGTCAGAGATGGGGTTCCAGTCAATGTGCAACAATATCAGAGATTGGTAGGAAGACTTATATACTTAGCACATACCAGACCTGATATTGCTTTTGCAGTTAGCATGGTAAGTCAGTTTATGCACTGTCCATATAAAGAACATCTTGAGGCAGCCTACAGAATTCTTAGGTATTTGAAAAGTTGTCCTGGAAAGGGTTTGTTTTTCAAAAAGAACCATAGTAGGGCAGTAGAGGCCTTCACAGATGCTGATTATGCAGGATCAGTAAGTGATAGAAGATCTACTTCAGGGTACTGCACTTATGTATGGGGAAATCTAGTGACTTGGAGAAGTAAGAAGCAGAATGTGGTAGCTAGAAGCAGTGCAGAGGCAGAATTCAGATCAATGGCCAATGGTATATGTGAACTTCTTTGGATCAAGAGGGTGATCAAAGAACTAAATATGGAATTGGAGTTACCTATGAGACTATATTGTGACAACAAGGCAGCTATTAGCATTGCACACAATCCAGTCCTACATGACAGAACAAAACACATTGAAGTGGATAGACACTTTATCAAAGAGAAAATCGAAGCTGGAATTGTGTGTACACCATTTGTGCCTACCAGGGATCAAACTGCTGATATTCTAACAAAAGGATTGTTCAAACCAATGTTTGAAAAACTAGTAAGCAAGTTGGGAATGTATGATATATATTCACCAACTTGAGGGGGAGTGTAAAAATGTATAGTTAGATTAATTTGTAGATAAATACTTAGTCTTATCTGATGTAAATCTCACACGTATGAGATAAAGATAGTTAGGTAGTCAGATCCTAATTTT